CATAGTGCTGGCACCAGCAGTATCAAAAGCACCACATGTGGGATTAAAGTAAAGAAGGATACTTTTTGAGGTTTGCCTTGAAATATTGAGGATTCTGCCCAACTATAGAAAGCAATTGAAAACAGTAATCCAAAGTCACTGAAAAGGAAGCTACCAGACCCCCAATGGTGCCACTAATAGAAGATGGAACAAAATGAACAACATTTCAAGCCACTCAATAGTTTTTTCATTGAACGAAAAACGCAACGCATTTGCATACATCAAGCATACTATGCAATAACTGCTACATAAGAAACTTATGCACTTACTGTCCTAATACACTGTGCATATGTTAATTTGAAATTGACAGAAAAATTACCAATCTATTTAGGGTTTGCTGGTAAAACGCAAAAAATCCGAGTGGCTCGGGAAACCATTCAGAGCTTATTTCAGAAAGTTTGCTTGCAAACTTAAGTTTTTTACTTCAGCTTTCTTGAAAGTTTTTTCATTAATTTGCATGAAGAGAAATACACATGAGAGCCTAAGAACGGTCAGAATACGTAGCTTATTACTTCTAAATGGCAATCACTAACCCAGCTGAGCTCAAAGTATCCGTTTCGCACACAAGTGACCATTCCGTGAAATGTACATCTACCAGCACGTTTTTCATTTTGATGTTTAGGAGAGCACAGCGTTCCCGGTGAATTTAAAGCAACTCACATATCCTACCTTCCGTGACCTCGAGAACCTTGAGCTGTTCTTCAGCCATCTGTCTAGATTGTTGATCTGGCGACAGGATGGCTGTCAGGCTATCTATGAGGGCCTGTTTTAATGATCGATTCCTGTCGTCCATTGCGGCAGCCATTTTGGAAATTCGGATAAAAGAAGGCAATTGCGCATGCGATTACTTTGGCGGGAAAAATTTGAAGAAAGTTTTGACCGCTGACTAGCAGGTCTTAATGTCAACTTAAAGAGGAGGCCATATCAATTCACAAGAATTCTGACGCGATTTACACACAAAGTTAACTCTCGGAAAAGCCTTTGGTGGTGGAGAAAGTATTTACCGAATCGTGTCTCGTCGAAACTTTGATTTGGTGGCTAGAGACTGTAATATTGAGTAACCCAGGCCGATGTAGTGTGATCGAGGTGCTGACCTAATACTATTACGGCAGAGTGGATATCTCTATGTGGTTCTGGCAATGAGAGTGAAAACTGGAATGTGGACCACTAATCTACAGTTAATTGTCAAAGTGACAGCACAACAGGAGGACAAAATTTAACTGATCGGCATGACCTATGCCTTGATGGGTTTTAGTTGATCATCCTTAGCTTATCTGTTTCCCTATCATACGTGGAGCATTTTTCCACATCTCTGTTCTAATGCCCAGATTTGTTTCTTAATAAAGCCCTGACTTGTCACTC